CTCCTCTGCCACTTGAAGATTTTGTGCAACTGCTAGATCTGTTTTCTGCTTTCACAAACAAGAGACGGGCGTTTTCGGTATCAGTAGGTGGTGCCTGGGTGTTGGCACACTGCTGTGGGTGGCATCCTGGGGACTTAATGGAAATAAACCAAGCTGATTGATTTTCTTGGGTTATTCTGGGTGACTATGTCTTCTTCAACCTTCCTTATTTGTTTTTTCTTGTAATATAATCGTCCTGGCATGGGTGGAAACGCTGGGCGTGTTTCCTTACGCCTGCTACCCCAGTTCATCTAGCGGTAAACAGGAACCTGGGTGTTAATCCACTGTTGTGGGTAACATCCTGGTGATACGACCCCACTTTAGATAAAGCTGGGCTTTGGAATGAGTTGAGGTAGGATAACAGCTCTTATCAGCATCATTCCTTGTCACATTAGCATGACGAAAACTACCTGGCGGTGGAGTTAATTCAGTTGAGTGTTGATGCCATGTTGTAAAGTCCAAGACTGAGCTTATTCTGAAATGTGAAAGCGAGGCTGAGGCATTGTGAGGAACACGGAATCTCTAATTCATATATTGTTGGAAAGAGGTTTCAGTATCTTAAAAAAAGGATGTGAATAAGGGAACATAACATGTGTCCCACAGCTCACCTGGTCATCATAACATATGTCTTTTATTCTGGCATGCCTTTGTATTCTATAATTATTGTTTCTTTAATTTGTAATTTGTGCTTAGTTTTCTTGACTTCATCAATAAATGTATATGCAATAACGATCACATGTCCCAACTACATAGTTTATTTTCATGGTGGTGAGGTGTAAGGTGGTAGTTTGGGTAAGGTATTGTTATATTTAATTAATTCGCCAAGGAAAGTCACCTGGCAGGACCCTTTGCTATAAGAAGATGCAATGGTGCTGGCACCATTGCAGAGGACGGTTGTACAAGACTGGGTGGCTATGGTTTTGTGGAAATATAAGATAGGCAAGGCTTATCGGTGGGACTGGCTGGTCTGAATGAATGGAGAATTTCTAATACGCTTAACAAAGTACTGTGGCTGTCTAGGTTAGTGTAACGGTCTCACCACTATAATAATCACGGAGGAAGCAATCAAGTTTACATACAGAGTTGGTCGAGACAAAACCCTGGGGCGCAGGTATGGTCCTTGCTGAGGTCGCCGGCTGTTAATGACACGGAGTCTCACCAAGACGCTACATCTGCACAAGTTTCCCCTACTTTAATACTTAAGAGAGAATTGTGGAAACTAAGGGATGACTGCTCTACATTGGTAATCCTAAAAGTGACCAACACTCGAGTATACTCATTTTAGGCTACACACAGTCATAACGCATTAGTTAAGAAAGAAATTGTGTTGTAGTTATGAAGTAGTGCTGGGTTGAGTATTGTAATATAATGTAATGTAGTATGATTATTATACTGTATGTATTTATCTATCAAAATAAAAATTTAGATTTTTGTTGTTTTGAGGCAGTGGTCCCTCTATGGGAGTAGGGGATGCCTTGATGCTGATGAAGGGCTCTTGATCCAAGAATATGAAGCTACCCTCTATTTCCTTGCATCAGATCTGATTATCTTGTGGTTTATGTGGCTCACATCTGAAGGACCAAGGTTCGATCCCAGCACAAGTAATAATAATAATAATAATAATAATAATAATAATAATAATAATAATAATAATAATAATATTATTATTATCTTTATTTCTACAAGTACAGGTACAAGGTATACAGACCATAGCTGACATCAGTGACATACTACTATATAGAAAGCCGCTTGTTATGCTGAACATTTCGGACAAATTAGACCAATCCATTAATCCATTAGTCTACTTTATAAATTTTTTTCCATACGAAGAAAGATTGAAATCCCTTAGACTATTTTCTATTGTAAAATAAAGAATGAGGGGGATTATTATTACCTGGAGTATACCTGGAGAGGGTTTCGGGGGTCAACGCCCCCGGTCTGTGACCAGGCCTCATGGTGAATCAGGGCCTGATCAACCAGGCTGGTAAACCCACAGTGGTCATACAGCACTGTGAAGAATGAGGGGGGACATGAATGAAGTGTTTAAGTCAGTACTTGACCAGCCGGGCTGTGGTTCGTACGTCAGGTTGTGTGCGGCCAACAGTAACAGCCTGGTTGATCGGGCTCTGATCCACCATGAGGCCTGGTCACAGACCGGGCCGCGGGGGGCGTTGATCCCAGGAAACATCTCCAGGTATACTGTATGGAAAATTTTATAGGGGTTACCTGCATGTACCTCAACATTACATTCATACAAGTAATCTCATTGGGAGACAACAACCATATTGTTTACCGTAGTCACCCCGTGTAGACATGTGAGAAAACTTAACCACCCCTGGTCACTGCAGGTGGCTCCTTCGACCTCACAATCTTACCCATATCTGTCCGAGACCAGTATGAATTGGATAGCACCCGCAAGTACGGCGCTACTAATTAATTGTGGAGTGTATAGATTATATTAGTTTAACTGAATGAAGGGAAGGGGGTAGGTTACACATGGATATATCCATCAAGGAAAGAAAACACTTGTATATAATACCACCACTTACCAGATATTCTCTGGTGGTCACTTGATGTAGCTGGATCACCCACAACCTATCCAATTACAACATACCTAACTGGCCAGTATCAGTTTCCTATAACTAGAAGGGTTACTTAACTGTGGGTGATTGATGCTCCTTATTTCTTCCATTCACCATCTCATTTCAATGTCCTGCTACACCGACACGGTTCTTATTCCAGCAGGACGAGGTATCCGTTGGTTTGTCCCGGTTTAGAAGTCGTGATTCCATAAAACCTTCACTATCCTCGAGACAGGAACAACGAGGTACACACGTGCTCACTCACTCTGAGAATGGCAGCTCATATCGTTTCCACGATTCCTTAACTTAGTGTTATTATCACTGATTATTTCACAGCCCACCATACGGTTTAACGTCTCATAACTAGTATACACGTTAGAGGTCGCTCTATTAAGATTTGAGACCGATGAGTGATGATTAAATCACGGGTATTTTCCCCTGAACACTCCATGGCATCTACCATTATTCACACATTTTACCAATTTATTACAGCGGTCCCGCAAATCACGTTCCCTCAGTCTTTACCAGGAACAGTTACGACACTTCCTATTATGAAGTGAGGCCTATATTAATCCTTAGGCCGCCGTGAACGCCAATTTCCTGATCCCATGCTTTCCCAGCCTCTTAACTCCATTCAAAACACTCAAGCTCCTGATGCCCCGTCTCAACCTCTCCCCTGCCCATCAGCGCAGGCGCAGAGCTTCCCTGTTGGTTCTATTCCATTTTCAAATACATTTTTTGACCCATATTAACACATTAAACGCCTATTAGGCACTATAGCTTCGGAAAATTAAAATATTTTCCACATGACACTCTTCAGGTCACTTGTTCTATCTAGGCTGGAATATTGCTGCACACTAACAGCACCTTTCAAGGCAGGTGAAATTGCTGACCTAGAAAATGTACAGAGAACCTTCACGGCGTGCATAACGGAGATAAAACACCTCAATTACTGGGAGCGCTTGAGGTTCCTAAACCTGTATTCCCTGGAACTCAGGCGGGAGATGCATGATTATATACACCTGGAAAATAATAGAGGGACTAGTACCGAACTTGCACACGAAAATTACTCACTACGAAAGCAAAAGACTTGGCAGACGATGCAACATCCCCCCAATGAAAAGCAGGGGTGTCACCAGCACGTTAAGAGAGACCATACAATAAGTGTCAGGGGCCCGAGACTGTTCAACTGCCTCCCAGCATACATAAGGGGGATTACCAACAGACCCCTGGCAGTCTTCAAGCTGGCACTGGACAAGCATCTAAAGTCGGTTCCTGACCAGCCGGGCTGTGGCTCGTACGTTGGTTTACGTGCAGCCATCAGTAACAGCCTGGTTGATCAGGCTCTGATCCACCAGGAGGCCTGGTCACAGACCGGGCCGCGGGGGCGTTGGCCCCCGGAACTCTCTCCAGGTAAACTCCAGGTAAACATACTGTGTAATGAATATATGTATATATTTGCTGCATCCCAGCAGGTAGGCACAATATACAATAATCTACTTTATTATACCTCTGTATTTACCTGTCTATCTACTAATTTTTCATTTTATTTATTGTGCGCACACGTCGTCGCGCGTCCCTGACGTAAGAGGCCCCAAGTATTACGTCAACCAGAGGCAGTGACGTCAGGATCCCCAGCTATCCGGATTCCCACTAAAAATCTTGCATTATCCTCTAATTAATTAATTACATTTTACAGCATGCATGCATAAGGTTTAAAAAAAATAGAATTTGGATTTTTTGTTAATTGTGAATTCACCTTTGAGGAGTTGGATTATTATTATAATCAAGGGGGAAGCACTAAACCCGTAGGATTATACAGCGCCTATGGGGGGATGGAAGGCATTCAGGTTTAATTCAGGGAACTGGAGCACAGATCCAATTCCCTAGATCAAGAGCCCCTCACCAGCGTCAAGGATGAGGAGTTGGAATAAACATGAGTTGGAATAAACATGAATTTGGATCGAGTAAAATAGATCGACTGAATTCGTAAAATTAAATGATGTAATTATGAAATTCATGTGTAAGTATACGCTTTTATATGCATATTTAGTTTTCATTACTTTCTATATATTTGCCATGAGTGGCTTAAGAATATATATATATATATATATATATATATATATATATATATATATATATATATATATATATATATATATATTATATATATATATATTATATATATATATATATATATATATAATATATATATATATATATAGTTAGTTTTCAAATAAGATATATAACAAAAATAACCGTGAGCATTAATTACTACGATTTACAGATGAATAAAGCTTTGGAAAAGTGTATACACCGGACACATGTGTTTAGTGTTTACAGAACAACACACATCGGTGTGTAACCGACCAGAGGCAGCTGAGGCGAGGCGGCTCTGCTCTTCCTCTTCACCATATTTAACCTCAAAACCCACGAAATAATTACGGTTCGTCTTCATTATTAGGATGTAAGACTATTGAGGTTACCAGGGAAGTGTGTGTTAGTCTCTCTCTAGGTTATTTTGAGAGGATAAAGGTGGAATCTGTTGTGGAAATTAGTCACATTTTGCGAGAGTGAATCTTCAAGATGATGATGATGATGATGGTAAGATTTAGAAGGTGATGATGGTAAGTTTTAGAAGATAAAGATGATGATTTAGAAGATAAAGATGATCAATCAGTCAGTCAAGATGATGTTGAAGAAGAAAGACGAATTAGGATGACAGTAAAAAAGAAAAGGAAGAATGATGATTTAATGCAGATTTCTGAAATTGAGTATTTTTACCACAAAATTTTTTTGTCCTACGGGTTTAGTGCTCCCCCATGATCATAATAATACTACCATAAGATTTTAAGCATTCTCTGTCCGCCACTTGCTTCAGAAATATCCAGATTTTAGTTAGCATTTCTAGGGACTCCAATGGAAATAATTTACTTGTTTTTCGGTTTATTTTAGGTAATTTAAACATGTTACTATGTATGATAATTGTGCTTGTGTATACCTAAATTTATTTCATATTTATGCACTTATAAAATTGTTCACAACCAGTGTCCCCAATGGAAATAAGTCACTCTGTCTGACTTTTTTGGGTTATCCTAGGTTCTCTACACATATGCTGCTATGTATGATAATTCTATGTAACTGTATTGTGTATACCTGAATAAATTTACTTACTTACTTACTTACTTACTTATTGCCAGTTTTGTGAAGGCTGGGAACCAATGCAATTATAGAACCAAGGGAAGGGAGAAGAACTTTGCAGTATATAGAGTCAGTGGTCAGGCTTGAAAGGCATTTTTCTACATAGTAATTAAAGAGTGGAATAGACTGCCTGCACAGGTCAAAGCTTGTCATAGCTTGAACCAGTTCAAGAAGAGAGCCAAAATGTACCTTATGAATAAGGCTACAGAGAGGGAGGAGAGTGACTTCTTGTATGAAAATAACTAAGTTTACCTCTCCCCTAGTATATCTTCTTTTATTGTAACTCCTTACCTGTTTAATGATTGCAAGGACTCCAATGGAAATAAGTCACTCTGTCTGACTTTTTTGGGTTATTCTAGGTTCTCTACACATATGTTGTTATGTATGATAATCTATGTAACTGTACGTATTTGTGTATACCTGAATAAACTTACTTATTTTTGCCATCATATTTCTTCCAATAATTATTATAGCTAAAATTGTCAATACAGATTTAATGTACTGTATAGGGTTTTGTTACTTAAAATTATTATTGCACTTAATAGACTTACCCTCAGAAAACTTATATTAACGTTGACATTCGACTAAAGTTTTAACGATGTATAATGGCAAAGTGATTTAAGTTGTAGTTTTAGTGTGCCCAAAATACTCAGCCTATCAATGGGATTTTCAAAAAGTATGAAATAATTGTAACGTAATTTTGTAACAATTATACATGTGCAGTATGTTTACTTTACATGAATTTGCTCTTGCAGTTCAATCATTGTAGAAGCCTTTCAAAACTAGAAATTGAAAAAAAATGTGAAATATATTCTTCATAAGAAGAGTTTTCTTCAGACTTTGGTTTATTTTATCTTTTATAAACTATATCTCTACAGTTTTTTATGTCTCATTCGTAAGAAATAACTCCCAGAATAAAAAGTGATTTGTTCCCGTGAAAGTCATTGAGCCAGAAAAATATTAGATAATTGAATCTATTTTCTGGCTGACCCTTTGTATAAACACTGGACAAATGACTCAGTTTGCTGGTTACTTATCAGTATAAATGCTGTATGTTGGTTGCTTTTCAGAATAAATGTTGGATAAATGAATTTGTTAGCTGGTTCCCCACTAATAAAAGCAGATAATTGAAACACAAATACTGAAGCCTGCGAATTTGTATGGGTGACTGTACTGAATATTGTCCACTTAAATTATTTTTATGTATACTTTTCATTAATTGCCTCTATGTGTATAGAGTTATTACCATAATAGATATTAATTGTCTTAATTTATTCACAGGCAAAATGAAGTGTGCAGAAGTCAGGCAGATGTTCTTTGACTACTTCCAGAAGCAGCATAACCACACCTATCAACACAGCTCTCCGACTATTCCTCACGATGACCCCACTCTGCTTTTTGCTAATGCTGGCATGAACCAGTTTAAGCCCATTTTTATAGGCAGTGTAGATCCCAGCAGTGACATGGCCAATCTAGTACGTGCTGTTAACTCTCAGAAATGCATCCGTGCTGGTGGAAAACATAATGATCTTGATGATGTTGGTAAGGATGTGTATCACCACACTTTCTTTGAGATGTTAGGCAACTGGTCTTTTGGGGACTATTTCAAGAAAGAGGTATGTGCTTGGGCCTGGGATCTTCTTGTTAACTGGTACAAGTTACCTAAAGAGCGTTTGTATGTTACCTATTTTGGGGGTGACAAAGAACAGGGCCTTGAGCCAGACTTAGAGTGTAAGCAGATCTGGATTGACTTGGGTATACCAGAGGATCGTGTATTACCAGGAAATATGAAAGACAACTTTTGGGAAATGGGTGAAACTGGGCCCTGTGGTCCTTGCTCTGAGATTCACTTCGATCGTATTGGTGGACGTCATGTAGCTCACCTTGTTAATATGGATGACCCAGATGTTTTGGAGATATGGAATCTTGTATTTATGCAGTACAATAGGGAAACAAATGGTTCTCTGAAACCTTTGCCAAAAAAGCATATTGATTGTGGCATGGGTCTAGAACGCCTGGTGTCAATACTTCAAAACAAGAGGTCTAATTATGACACTGATGTTTTTGTACCAATCTTTGAAGCCATCCAAAAGTCATCAGGTAGTAGGCCATACTCTGGTAGAGTTGGTAAGGATGATGTTGATGGAATTGATATGGCTTATAGGGTCTTAGCTGATCATATACGAACATTGACAATAGCATTATCTGATGGTGGCATGCCAGACAATACAGGAAGAGGTTATGTCCTGCGCCGCATTTTGAGGAGGGGTATCCGTTATGCCTCAGAGAAAATAGGAATGAAACCTGGAATGTTTGCCAGTCTGGTTGATGTGGTAGTAGAATTATTAAAAGATGCTTTTCCAGAGGTATCAAAAGACCCAGAGTACATTAAAGATGTAATAAACGAAGAAGAATTACAATTTTTGAAAACTCTAGACAGAGGGCAGAAAATGTTTGGGCGTACAATAAGAAAACTAGATGGGGCTCAGGTGGTACCAGGTGATGTAGCATGGAGACTTTATGATACATACGGATTCCCAGTTGATTTGACCCAGTTAATGGCTGAAGAGAATGGTCTGACCGTTGATATGGTGAACTTTGAAGAAAATAAAAAAGAGGCTCAGGAAAAGTCAAGAGGGGAGAATAAGGACAAGGATAATTCATTCAGGTTAGATGTTCATGCTATTGAAGATCTTAAGAACAGGGAAGTGCCTTTCACAGATGATAGTGTTAAATTTACGTACAGTGCTGGGGATTCACCAGAGTCAAGTTATGAGTTCCAGCCTTGCAGTGGAAAAGTTATTGCTATTAGGTCCAATAACCAGTTTGTAGACAAAGTTGCATCTGGAAATAGATGTGGCATTATTCTTGACAAGACAAATTTCTATGCAGAAAGTGGCGGTCAGATGTCTGATGAAGGGTTCATGGTTAAGATGAATGATGAAGAGACAGAATTTAAGGTTGAATCTGTGGAAGTGAAAGGTGGCTATGTTTGCCATATTGGTGTGGTGGAAGGTACAATAAGTGTTGGTGATGACATGAATCTGACTTTTGATTGGGAACGCAGGAAGCACCTTATGAATAATCACACAGGTACTCACATTCTCAATTATGCTCTTCGGCAAGTGCTTTCTTCAGAGGCAGATCAAAGAGGGTCCTTGGTGGCACCTGATAGACTTCGATTTGATTTTACAAATAAATGTGCCATGACTGTAGACCAAGTGAGGAAGACTGAAGAAATTGCCAGAGAAATGGTTAGAGAAAATAAAAAGGTGTATGCCAAAACTGCACCACTGTCTGTGGCAAAGAACATTCAGGGTCTTCGTGCAGTGTTTGGCGAGGTGTACCCAGACCCCGTTAGAGTAGTTTCTGTGGGTATCCCAGTTGAAACCTTAGAGGCTGATCCACATAGTCCAGCTGGAAGTATTACCAGCATTGAATTTTGTGGTGGAACTCACCTCCTTCAAACTGGACATGTAAGAGATTTTGTTATTGTCAGTGAGGAAGCTATTGCTAAAGGAATCAGAAGAATTGTTGCCATTACAGGTCCAGAGGCTATTAAAGCTTTAAACAAAGCTTCACACCTAGAGAATGAAGTCAATAAGTTGAAGAAAAGGATAGAAGGAAATAATCTTTCGTTCAGAGAAGTTGTTCGGCTTCTTACAGATGTGTTAAATGACATTAATCACGCTCATATACAGCACTGGAAGAAGGAAGAATTGCGGAAGGCAGTTGAAGCCATTAAGAAAGTTCAAGGAGATGCTGATAGGGCACAAAAAACTGCTGCATCTAAGGAAGCCATCCAGATTACGAAGAATTTGTTGGCAGCAAACTCAAACATTCCATATTTAGTGACCGAAATAAAAGCATTTGCTCAAAATAAGGTGGTTAATGATGCCTTAAAGGAAGTAAAGAATGGGCCTCCAGCGCTCTTTATCAGTGCTGATGAAGACGCTAATAAGATTCTTGCTATGGCATCTGTACCACAAGATATAGTTGCTAAAGGCCTAAAAGCTGATGAATGGGTTAGAAATTTGATAACACTCTTGAATGGCAAAGGTGGTGGTAAACCAGAGTCTGCTCAGGTGAGTGGCACCAATGTTAATGCCCTGAAAGAAGCATTGGCTCTTTCTGAAAAATTTGCTCAAGAAAAATTGGGTGTTGGAACTGTGGTCCTAGCTGCCCCACAGCCAACTACTAATGATGTAAGCCAACCAAAGGAAGTTAAGAGAGAAAAAATTGAACAGCAAATTATACAAAAAGTAACTCCTCAGGTCTCTAAAAATGGAATTGTGCTTCATACGTATGCTAACAATGTCCGTGCATTTCCAGCACTGATAGCTGCTAAATTTTCTGGGAAGGAGGTCACAGTTTCTCCAAATTTCAAGGCAGGGGTAACAAATGTTTCAGAGGAATATATTTCTCGATTTGGCTCAAGTATAGTGCCTGGCTTACAAACTCCAGATGGGCCCCTAAGTGGAAGTATAGCTCCTGCCTGGTACCTTGCATCTGAACAATTTGGGAGGTTCTAATGCGGTTACCAAGGGCAAATATTAAGTTGGATGTCATCAGCTGACTCTCTCCTTTTTACCAGTTGTGTTTTTCTGGGATGGTGCCATCTCAGGCTAAGTCCAAGAAGGGAAGTAATGCAGGTGATGCTTATGGAGCTGCTATGAAGGAGATGCAGAAACTTAATGTTTATCTTCGGGATCATACCTTTCTGGTTGGAGAGAGACTGTCGCTTGCTGATATAAGTGTCTTTCATCATTATCCCAGTTTCCCCAAAAATGGATTTGATGGTGTTCCGGGAAGAAATCCCTTGTCTAACTTTTGGGTTCAAACTTTTCTACCCCAACCCAGGTTACCAGGTAAGGGGAGTACAAATTTGAAACCTAAATAATAGAAAGCTGTTAACAAAAGGGTTTCCCCCTTTATTAAACCCTACATTTGGTATGTTTTATCTTGTACTAAATTTTTGTACTGAATCATTCATTCATTTTTTTTCAAGTCAAAGTATTTGGGGGGGAACATGCAAAAAAAAAAAAAAAAAAAAAAAAGGCAGCAACTTCTGGTTGTTTTTTTCTATTATCATAAAACTTCTTATCTAGAAAATGCAAAAGAATTTTGTTTGCCTTCTTTCAGACTACTGACATCAAATTTTTTGACATCCAGCTTTCAATTATAATCTCTGATGAACTCGTTAGTTCTGATTAAACGGTTAAAGGAGGGCCCCATAACCCAGTAAAAGGCCTTGGTCAATGCCCAAAACCCAAAATTTGGGGGGTCTCATCTGACTAAACCCGCCGGGGGAAACATTATCCTTTTTCCCTGATAACCTTAAAACCCTAAATGGTTATACGACAATTTTATCTTGGAGAGTTTGGTGCTCTTTTTCTTTTTTAACATTAGTAATACTATAGACTTTCTGGTAAGCGGGTGCATAAACATTACGAATAGCAAATAATAATTTATTTAAACAATACATTGCTTATCAAAAAATCTCGTACTCTAAAGGTGATTTTTAAATGATTGACTTTAAATTTTATAAAAGAGAATGTGTTCATAACTTTCTTGGTGGGATGATGGGTTAGTGAGAAATTGGGAAAGCTTTTTAACTGATTTTAGTGATGGGGTTTGGGAAAAATTTGCCCAGCCTCCTAAACAAATCAGTTTTTTTTTTTTTTTTTTTCTATAGCTTCAAATTTTTTATCACCTTATGTTATTATGGCATTTATTGGCATCATGGTACATTATACTTAGATTGTCACTTAAAAAAGTAACTAACCTAACTTAGCTAAGTATTGTAACACGAGAGATTTGCTTAAAACTGTATGGTGGAAATAGATTTAGGTTTTCGGAGGGTGGGTTGGGTATAGTATATGATGCCATTAAAAGTGTAAAAACATTTAGGATTGTCTTAAGATTGATCTCCAGTTTGTGGGTTAGCTGTCAACATCATTCATCTTTTTTATCTGGTTTTAAAAACCCCTTTTAGAAAACATACTGTAACTTGCTTGGGACAATAGATGTGCAATGTAATCAGGGAAAGGTTGTACAGTAATTCAGGTTTCAGTAATGTTTGGTGTATACTATGGCATTAAAAATGTAAAAACTTTTTTTTTTTTTTTTACCCAGTTTTAAAAGTCCCTCTTGTGTACATATTTGTAATGTTCTGAGAAGCCGTTAATGTTGTTGAGAGTAATGTTATAAAGTTTAGTTTATTAGTTAATATTATTGGTAAAAAATGTGAAAAGGATAAAATTTGTTACAAAATGGTAATATTTCTTACCATAATGTTTACTACACCAGTAACTTAAATAGTACAGTGGACCCTCGACCAACGATGGAATCGTATAACGTTAAATCCGACTAGCGATACATTTTAACGCAAAAATTTTGCCTCGACTAGTGCTAAAAAACTTGACCAACGCTGAGCGCGCCTCACTTGTCCCGTGGGTGCCAGTGTTTACAAGCCAGCTACTGCGGTCGCATCCAAACATACAATCGGAACATTTCATACCACAGCGTTTTTAGTGATTGTACCAGCAAAATAAGTCACCATGGGCCCCAAGAAAGCTTCTAGTGCCAACCCTGTGGTAAAAAGGGTGAGAATTAGTATGGAAATTAAGAAAGGGTTTGGGGTTAACCCTGAGATGCCTATGCCAGTTGTGGAATCCATTGTGCCTATTTCAAAGATTAAGGAAATGTGTGCAAAGTGGGTTGAACTGCAAACCTTTATGGATGAAAATCACCCTAACACAGCTATTGCAAGCCGTGCTGGTGACTATTACAATGACAATGTTATGGCCCATTTTAGACAAATCTTAAAGGAACGGGAGGTACAGAGCTCTATGGACAGATATGTTGTGCAACAGAGGTCAAGTGACTCTCAAGCTGGTCCTAGTGGCATTAAAAGACGAAGGGAAGTAACCCCGGAAAAGCACTTGCTACCTCAAGTCCTAATGGAAGGGGATTTCCCTTCTAAACACTAACACCATCCACACTCTCCCTTCCTCCCATCCCATCAATCATCACCAGATATTCAATAAAGGTAAGTGTCATGTAATTGTACATGTCTTCTTCAGTTTGTGTGTATTAAAATTAATATTTCATGTGGTAAAATTTTTTTTTTCAATACTTTGGGGTGTCGGGAACAGATTAATTTGATTTCCATTATTTCTTATGGGGAAAATTAACTCGACTAACGATGAGCTCTCAGGAATGGATTAATATTGTTGGTTGAGGGTCCACTGTATGTCTGTTCAGCAAAATCTATCATTGCTCCATGAAAGGGTTAAATACAGTAGTCTTTTTGCCACAGTGAATGGGCTGTTAATCTGAGGAAATGGACCTTTTCTCCTCTTCGTCCAATTAAGTTTGAAATACCCTTCTCCTCTTGATCTTATTAATGGGGATAATTCTCCTTTTCTGAAATAGAACTCCTAGACAGAAGAAAAAGAAATGGCTCTTAGCCCTCGTTTGATAGTTCTGGGGTGGTGGGATCACTCCACCTGATTATTATTATAATCAGATAAAGCGCTAAACCGACAAGGGTCATGTAGCGACTCATCTGATGAATAATGGTTCATCATGAGGTGTCGGGTAACCCTCCAGTGAGGCCTTTGTTCTTCTAGCAGGACTGATGATGGTGTTACTAGATTTCTTGTGAATCTGGCAGTGGCAATTCTTCAGTTCAACCACCATTGTTAGTTGAAAGATGATTGCGTAGTTCATACTATAGTTTAACCCTTTCAGGGTCCGTCCTGTAGATCTACGGCTTCATGTTGTGTCCAAACTGTAGATCTACGCCAAAATTCTAGCGCTGTCAAATTTAGCGCAAAAATGCTCATAGGCCTACATGTGAGAGAACGGGTCTGCGTGGTGGGTGTGCGCCATAAACAAAAAATCTAGGCGCCCGCATAGCATTGTGGGAATGCCGGCTCAGTTACCCTTGTTCACCATGCCTCGTCGCAAGGCAGCTCTCACTCCAAGGAAAATTGGGACTCTCCTGTTCCTATCTGATAGTTCTGACAGTGATGGAAGTGGAAATGAAGACGAATTCTTTGGCTTTGATCAGTTAGTGACCGAAAGGAATGACCAGGATATCGATAATAGTGCAGAAAACCCTGACGATCCTCAACCTTCTACCTCTGGTGTGGGCACTCGTCAGTCACGGTCGGTTGTACCTCAGTGCAAGAGAAAACTATAATTTTCACGTGGCCAGGCCTCTGACTTCAGTAATGATGATGATAGTGACGTGGATTGTGATTTTATTGCTCTTGATGGTCATTCGAGTAGTGATAGTGAGGAATCATATTCACCAGTGAAGCGTCGGTATGTACGCCGCCGCATGCGCTCGGGTAATGTACCCTATGCTGTGCCCAGGGGACGGAGTACAGTGGACCCTCGCCTAACGATGGCATCGCATAACATTAAATCCGTCTAGCGATACATTTTAACGCAAAAATTTTGCCTCGCCTAGCGCTAAAAAACTCTCTCAATGCGATTCGTCCGAGACGCGTCCATGTGTGGCCTGAGCCAGCCTCACTTGTTCCGCGGGTGGCAGTGTTTACAAGCCAGCCTCCGCGGTCACATCCAAGCATACAATCGGAACATTTCGTATTATCACAGCGTTTTTAGTGATTTCACCTGTAAAATAAGTGACCATGGGCCCCAAGAAAGCTTCTAGTGCCAATCCTACAGGAATAAGGGTGAGAATTACTATGGATATGAAGAAAGAGATCATTGCTAAGTATGAAAGTGGAGTGCGTGTCTCCGAGCTGGCCAGGTTGTACACAAAGCCCCAATTAATCATTGCTACTATTGTGGGCAAGAAAACGGCAATCAAGGAAGCTGTTCTTGCCAAAGGTGCAACTTTGTTTTCAAAACAGAGAGAGCAAGTGATAGAAGATGTTGAGAGGCTGTTATTGGTGTGGATAAACGAAAAACAGACAGCAGGAGATAACATCTCTCAAGCGATCATATGTGAAAAGGCTAGGAAGTTGCATGAGGATTTAATTAGAAAAATGCCTGCAACTAGTGGTGATGTGAGTGAATTTAAGGCCAGCAAAGGTTGGTTTGAGAGATTTAAGAAGCGTAGTGGCATACATAGTGTAATAAGGCATGGTGAGGCTGCCAGTTCAGACCGCAAAGCAGCTGAAAAATATGTGCATGAATTCAAGGAGTACATAGACAGTGAAGGACTGAAACCTGAACAAGTGTTTAATTGTGACGAAACAGGCCTGTTTTGGAAGAAAATGCCAAGCAGGACCTACATTACTGAGGAGGAAAAGGCACTCCCAGGACATAAGCCTGTGAAAGACAGGCTTACTCTGTTGATGTGTGTCAATGCTAGTGGTGATTGCAAAGTGAAGCCTTTATTGGTGTATCACTCTGAAACTCCCAGAGTGTTCAGGCAAAAGAATATCCTCAAGGCTAATTTGTGTGTGCTGTGGAGGGCAAACAGTAAGGCATGGGTTACCAGGGACTTTTTCTATGACTGGTTACACCATGCATTTGCCCCCACTGTGAAAAATTACCTAATTGAAAAGAAATTAGACCTTAAGTGCCTCCTGGTATTAGAGAATGCTCCTGGTCATCCTTCAGACGTGGCAGAGCGACTTTCTGCAGACATGAGCTTCATTAAGATCAAGTTTTTGCCTCCTAATACCACTCCTCTCCTGCAGCCTATGGACCAGCAGGTCATTCCAAACTTCAAAAAACTGTACACAAAAGCTCTGTTTGAAAGGTGCTTTGTA